CGGCTGCCGCGTGCTACAATCCAGCACGGCGGAGCTTGCATATTCCTTATGTGCGTTTTTTCATTATAAGATTTGGTATAGCCTAGTTGTTTTCGCTCGTCGTGCGCGTGGAATTCTAATGTTTGTTTAGGGCCTTCTTTCGTCTGTGCGTGCTCCAAATCGAGTTATAATAATTTTATTCGTATCCTGGGGCCCTTTATGGCCGGTGGGTTCATTCAGGGTTGTGCGGCAATGCATAGCGTTGGCGTTATGCGTTTTTAATGGTTTTCCGCAGGTCTGCGGTTTTTTCTTGCAGCTGTGTCGAAGTCGGTTGTTATATTAGTTATTCCCTATTCCGTGTTAACGGTGTTTTCGTGCTAAAGTGCATTCTTGCATCGTTTTTAGCATTTATAATTTGGCGCAGGCGCAGTGTGCGCGGCGTTCAATCGCGACGGTGGCTTGGCCTATAGTCGTACGCGATTGTAGTAGACACGTATTATGTCTGTTCGCTATATTCCGTGCTCGCGCTCGCTTGGTAAAAGGACGGGGCACTTCATTGTAGGCGCACCAGACGTTACAACCATATACTTTATTTATATCTCATGATTTCATCTTCCCTTTCCTTTTTAAATAGATACAATAGTATCGTTTGAGAATACATATGTACATATGTAAGATCGCAGATGTAATTCATTCGTCTTGCAATGTACATCATTTTATATATCATAATGTCTATTGTGTTTATTATCATTTTTGTTACCATTGTTAAAACTATAATAGCAACGACTACAACGATGAATTCTCCTTCTTCTCCTCAAGATATAAATACAGAAATAATTCTATATCTGCAAAAGTATGGTTATTTAAATAACATTGGGAACAATACGTAATTATCGATCGGGTGAAAAAATTAAACAGGCTATTTCATTGTTTCAAGAATATTATCAAATACAAGGTGATGGTACATTGAACGATCATACGTTACATCAAATGCGTAAACCACGATGTGATCTCCCAGATATTCCACATCATGAGCACAATACAGGTATACATAAATGGATGAAAATAAATCTTACGTGGAACTTTCATTTGGCAAATGCAAATATCTTAAAAACTGCGGCATTCGCATTCTCGTTATGGGCAGCAAATTCATCCTTATCATTCGAGCGTAAAATATTAAACCCTGACATTTTAATATCTTACCGTAGTGGTACTCACACATATGTTGATCACAAACGTAACGCAGAAATTTGCCCCTCTTCATTCGACGGTCGTGGTGGAGTACTCGCTCACGCGTTTTATCCTTCACGCAATCCTAATTACACCACCGAAATACATGTTGACAATGCAGAAGCCTGGCACATATACCTAGACGATAAAATACCTTTCAACTCGGAACGTCTACTTCATACATTAACACATGAAATCGGACATTCGTTAGGACTAATGCACAGTTCGCGCGAAGATTCTGTAATGTTTGCGTTTACTAAAAATACTAATACAACTGTTAAACTCAACTTAGAAGATATTTTAGCGATTCAGCATCTATATGGAAGTAACAAACCAGGAATAACAACAACTACTACTACTACTACTATAAAACCACCAACAACGACTACTAAAATTCCAACAAATAAGCCTGATAAAATAGATCTCTGTGAATTACAATATGTGGATACTATATTAATATTAAATCATCGAATATTCGTCACGTATTAAGGCTATGTATGGCCGATAAATATAAATGATAATAAATATGACGGACCATTTGAGCTAAATACTTACATGAATTTCTTCCCAAAAAATTTCTCTTTGTCAGCCGCGTACCAAAGACCCTCGGGTGAAATAGTACTATTTATAAATGATATGGTTTATATGGTTAATTATCCTAGTTTCAAATTAAAAGAAGGCTTGCCGAAACATCTAAAAAATTTGGGATTTCCGCCAAACGTTGTAATTAATACCGCGATAAATATTCACAAAGGACAAACCTATGTAATCTTCGATGATAACGATGTGGCGCAAATAGACGAATGTACTCTGACTGTTAATGTATATCAAACGTTACAATTAATATTTCCAGGAATACTACCATATCCAACCATGGCTTTCCGACATATAAATGGTAATATTTATTTTGCTAAGAAACAACAATTTTATCAATACAACGAATTCAAGAGAATCGTGACAAAAGCGGACAAATTTAGTATAAAAAAAATACTTAACACTGAATGTTCGAGAGATGGATTATTGCAACAGTTGCAAGATATCTTGAATCAATTCATTCAGTACAATTAATACATATGTAACATATGTAATGTATTAATACATATATATTACCTAAACTATTAATATATACCAGGTATGTAAATATGAAACCGGAATTTTTTAATAGAAAATACACGTTTATTGCATGAAAATGATAAAAAATATTTTATTCGAAGTATT